GCAAACGCAGACGTTAACTCTAGACAGATTCTTATTTTTGGAGACAATTCAGTAATTAGTTCTAGTCTAGTGAAGTTGTAAGGACTTCCAAATTAAGTGCTTCTGAAATCCAATGTTGAGAGTTGACATTGAGCATTTTATCAGTTCAGACAATGACCTAAACAAAAAGAATGTCTTAAAAGTACACAAATGAGACCAAATACAACCCAAGGAATGTTTTTTTTTAAATGAGAAAACAATATTAAAAAGGTTACAAGTTCAGACAGCATTCAGTTGCGCATAATGTTTTCTTTTTAACCTTTTAGAAGCTTGATATTTTGTCCCTCGATGTCCAATCCATGATATGTTTTCAGTGCTAGTGGCTGTGGTGTGCATGGGGGTAATCATGCGTGCTTATGGCGGTTCTCTGATACAGGAAGTGGTGATGTAATCGTGCAGAATGCCTAAGCTTTTTCACACTGTCTCCCTCTCTCCCCTCTCACACAGCATTCACCCCTCGGCCACTGGCTTTTCAAGTCTGTAATCACAGCCTCACTCTGGTCACTGTGGTGAAGAGAGATGCATGCTTAGAAGTCAGACAGATATAGGACAATGCCTGCTTTTAGTCATTTATGGGAAGAAAACCTCCAACTCAGTGTTTACTAAATGTTCTGATTTGCATTGCCTAGCGCAGTCAAATTTGTCGTATTTCAAAAGATTTAGGTAATAAATTAATAACTGTGCCTGATTTTTACTGTCCTAAAAACGTGAAAACAGAACGGGTTCATTTTAAATGTTTTGCAGTGATCCAAAGTTACTCCTCGCTTTCCTTATACATTCTGAGTATCCTAATGATTCACTTGATTATTGGACAGGAAGCACTTTATAATTGAATGCAGACAGCACATAGTGGGCATATATTGACCTCAAGAGCTGCTTATACAATATACGTGTTCTGGGGCAATACAACACAGATTTGCTCAAAATACATGAAAGAAATTGGATACAGACTCTTTAAATTCAGTGCTATGTACTGCAATATTGTGAGGCATTTTACTGCAGATGTCGTATGACTGAGTTGGCCTTGTGTCTTATTTGAATTTCAACATCATGTTCTTTCAGCACAGGAGCCTCTGTGACATTCAGTTTCTAAGGTTCTCTCCATGATTTGTGTGTTTACTTTCAGACCAAGGTCTATAGTCAAAAGGTTCACACACAAAGAGTTTATTCAATATATGCAGTGATATAAGTACACAGTGAGCCAGAGAAGGAGAAAAGCTAACATTATGTAGACCTAGAGGGCTGCAACGAAACATGATTTTAGCAGTTGACTACTCCAACGATTATTTCTGTTGTACATTGATAGCCAGGCTGGTATTACCTTGTACCTTTGCTCAATTTCATTTCTCTCCAGCAACTAGGTCAGGAATCGGAATACACTAGATGTTTTGCAGGAACCCCGGAAGTGCGAGTCCGGGCAACAACCAATCAGCAAAGAGCGATACATTTTGTGTTGGCAACGATTCCCGAGATCGAGAAATTAAAGAGAGAATGTTTGGTGAATTTTATCAAGGGAAAAGTCGGTCCTTGCCCTTCTTCTTATGGGATTTGGGAAAAGCTTAATATACCAGTTAGCCCCGTTACAACCAAATAGCAGCGATTGGTTAAATAAAAAAAAGTACCCGCCTACCGTTGAGCGAACGAATCCTGATGCTGCGAGGTCAGACGGTTTCCACAAAGTGAAACCGGCTGATGAATCAGGCCAGTACATTGAGGCTTTTTAAATACATTATCACCAAAATAAAGGTTGAAATATGGTGAATAAAGGCTTTGTACATTTTATATGTGCATATTAGTAATAGATTGACCATTCTGACCTGTCGTTTGTTTTCGTACTTATTGAGGGATTACATAGATATCATTAAATGCTAATATAAAAGAAAATACTATTATTGAAGAGAGACTGTTTTTTATTGTCATTGAGTTTGAAATGTTAGTATCGTGACAGCACTACAAAGGCATGTACCAGCTTTTCAGAACAGTATGAATTAGAGTGTAGTTCCTAAAGTGAAACAATAACATTTTGCTGAGTTGTTTAATGGGTCTTACATGAAAGTTCTGCCCCACCTAATACCCAAGTTGGTAATAGAGGGAGCGAGTGTGTATACTGGTGAAAGAAGCAGATTGAATTTGGAGTGGGGGTGTCAATAATGAAGTACGGTGTGTGGACATAAAACTGTTAACATGATTTTAATGAAAAGCAATTATGTAAACTGCTGCACTTTCTCTGCTGCCTCATTGTCCCATCACCCAACCATCTAACCGCCCATCTCCACCGCTGCGTACTGAAGAGGCGGAGCACTTCTCACTCATCTACTGTATCTCTATCTCATTCTCGGAGGACTCCACTGGATTAAAATACACCAAAATGCTAATGAGTCCTGTGTGTGTGTGTGTGTGTGTGTGTGGAGGAGGGCGTCAGTGCTTATCTCCCATCCGCAACGCTTCAGCTTCACGGGACACTTCAAACAGGGAGGGAGGGGGCAGAGAGCGGGCAGAGAGAGGGGCATGGGGGGCAGGGGTATGGTACCGGGGGGAAATCGGACTCTGATTTGAGAGCGCATTAAACAAGCAGGATGAAAGAGAAACTGCCTGTGTATGTGAAATATTCTCTTCACGAAACTGAAATATCAAACTCAATTTCAGTACTAAGGAATAGACTCAATACTCAATGCCGATACCACGATGATGAAAACACTTTCTTTAGACAATAGAATGTGATTTTCAACATTTAATAAGAATTTTCCTTCAGTCGTCCAGGTGGGTTCCATAGTGGTCCATGGGTGTTTACTCGTTTATGTGCTCTTATATTTGTTCTGATACAGCTAAAAATCATTCTAAAACTATTCAAGAAAGGTTCATTTCTGTCCTGTGAATGTGACTTTTTTAGAATCATCAACTCAAATGAGTATCTAGTTTCGATACTAGTTCAATTAGTGTCTGATTTCCGACAGTAGCTCAGTTGGTCTGATTCGACAACCCTAATTTGCAGATAGAATAAAATGAATGTCCACTGTACTGTTTTTGATGCTAACATTCAGGTAATGATTTAAAAAAAAAAAGATAGTTTGCTGATTTTGACAAAGCTTCACTTGCTTTTTTATCCTGTATTTTAATCACACATAATAATAAAACTACACTTTTCAATGTAGTTACAGAAACATACCCATTATCAACGTACAACCAAATATTTAATACTGGTTTTAATTTAAATTGTATGTGTGTCCATTTGTCCCATAAGCAATACACACCAATATACATGTACAAATCCAGCCCCACACCCCACTTATACAATTCGCAGGCTCTTAACAGTGCGAGAGGTTAACCTGGATCAAGTGTAATGTAATCTGCTGCGGCTGGGGTGTGGGAGGAGGAGGAGGGGGTGAGGGGGGGCACTTCTATCGGAGAGAGACACAGCTTTGCGATGGTGGTCGGTGGTAGCAATTCTCTTTGATGCCACTATAGCTGTCAGAATCCCCCTCCTCGTATATCTGTGTTTGGGTGGGTAGATTGATGAGCAGGCTGCTCTTGGGGACCGGAGACATGGATCATATTTTGGGGGAGATGCTGCTGAGTGTGGTGAAAAAGCATCGGGGTGTGGGGGGTTGGTGGGGTGCAAGTGGAATTAAAGGAGGAGAAGGGTGCATCGGGAGAGGGGGCATGTTTTAGGGGAATATGGAATTTGATTTATGACAAGCTTAGGGTGATACTGAATATATGTATTATTGATGCATGAATGTCTGGGCAGAACAATGCGCAAAGTGCTAGAACAAAAAATGGATTCACCCTCACAATTTTAGGCAAATATAGGCTATTGTTTACATTTTTTGTTTTATTTGTCCCAAAATTATGTGTTATTTTGACTGCTCTGTCCATGCCCACTGTCTTTTGGGACACTGGGCAAGGGGAAGTAACAGTACCCCCCAAAATTTTGCCAACATTATATTAAGATTTCTGAATTGTTGTGTTTCTGTTAAGCGTCTAGTGACCGCTAAACTTACTGTTCAACATGTTACTGGTGAGGACATCAGATAAATTACATAAATAGCATTAAATAAACATTTTAAATACTATAAGTCTTATATACTATGAGTGAGAGAGGAAGAAATAGAGAATTTCACATCTACGAATGTCTGTTTATTAGGAATGTATCAATAACTGAAATATTGTGATATCGTATCGTCAAAAGTCTCACAATAATATTGTAGACTGTCACAATATATCAAATTACAAATTCCTTTGCTTAAATGCATTTAAGTATTATAGTAGCAACAGCTTATGAACATCGCAAACTACGTATCCCATGATTCATTTCAGTGCAGACAACATGAAGATATGTTTTTTACTTGAATTCTTGAGGTTATGCTGGAAATTATTCACACCAAAATCTTGTCAAGGTATTTTAAAAGCACAAAAAGTGTTCCATCTACAATTATATTAGCCTCTTCAAAATATCATAATAAATATCATACTGTGAGATTCCTACTGTTTATCAACTTATCTCTGCTTATTGCTTTCCCTGTAAAATTCCACTGTATGGCATTATACTTGTCTCTCTTGTGTTTATTCAGTTACAGGTGTTTTTATTGATAAAATACCTTGAAAAACAGGGATTTTTAGACTAGAGGTGGGAGTGTGTTAATGCGCCCTAAAGTACAAATTCTGCTCCTCAAGGACTATTTAGAAACATTAAAATTACAAAAAGAAGCCTCCTACTGTGTACCTGTGTGATCTTTTTAAGGACTTGCTTTAAAAGATTGACGAAGGCAAAGTTGCAAGCCTTTTGTTACAAAAAGTGGAACATGGAAGTTACAAGCCAATCTCTCCACAGATCTTACCTGTAACCTGGTGGTGTTACTGACTTGTTTCCACACAGATACATAAGCTCAATGCCATTCTGTAGAACATAGTGTACCTTTATGTAAAAAATATCTAACCCAACCTTTGTATTCTGTTTCTAGTGCTCCTATCCTGTATGGGAGGACTTCAGCGCCAAGGCCACCAAGCTGCATTCACAACTCCGGTTAGAGTCCTCTTCCACTCAAAAAACTGCATAATCTTTCATACTCATCTTGTAAAGAAAGTACAAATATTATGCAACCACTAATGTATCTTCTTTGTCTTTAGAACCACTGTCCTAGCTGCTGTGGCCTTCCTGGATGCCTTTCAGAAAGTGGCAGACATGGCAACAAACACTCGAGGTAGGATGCTATAAATTTGATTTTTTGCTGAGAAATCTCCAGACTCGGAGATTACATGGCAACCCTTATTAGGATCGTCGCTGTGTTATGAGATATGATCAAGCAGGCGGGTAGATTGTCTGATCAAAGTGGTTCCCCCAGCCTAAAGGAACAGTTTGCATATCTCTTCAAATCATTGTTTACAAAGACAAATGAAAGTATGTCAGAGATGTCCTAGTATTTGAAGTAGCAGGGTGTGGAAAAGGAAAATACTCATTATACTTTGACGCAGTAGGAAGACGTTTGTAGAGCAGGGCACTGGAGGTTTATGTTTCTTTGTTGCTGATTTGTGGATTAAAAATAAAAAAAATTTAGGAATGGGGTTTTTAATGGTGTGCTTAGAGTAACGTGTGAATCACTGATTTTTTGTATTTGATATTATTTCTTCCAAATGTTTGACTTTGTTAATGCACAGTTTGTGAATTGTATTCGCTAGTATATCACCTCATGTTTTGTATATTTTAACTGTTTTTTGATTTTGATTGGTAGTCTCTGTGTTGGTGAAGAAGAGCATGGTAGCATTGTTGTTTTGAAAAGCTGCCTCTTGGCCAGGAAAACTCTTAAAAACTAAAATTCTAATCTCAATTAAGTTCTCCTGGTTACATACATAAAATACTTAAAAAAGATAGTACTTTAGAAGTGTTCAATTTGAACTCTTCTGCAACCTAAGTACAAATTGGTTCCACTGATCCAACATTTTAAGGAGTAAATATTAACTTCACTATTTCGGCCATTGCACTACAAACTTTCAGAGCTTATTTGGCTCTTATGCTGCTATTTTCTCCCTTTTGACCCTGTTTAAATTCAAGCAGTCTGCTCCACTTTCCTCACTATGTGGGTTGAGAGCAGTGGAGGTCAGACTAACTCACACTGCCGTCTATTAATATTGCTGTAGCCTATCTATACTACTGCAGGACCACATAGACGCTCACTATGTTCACACAGAGAACTCCTGAGTGCGCTAAACAACCAAATTTAATTTGTTTTTGCCCCAGAAGGTGCCAGATCACTCTTATCCCAGTCTACCTGCAGGTCCCTGTGCAAACAGGAGCTATGAGATATTCAGGAGCATCTAGTCATTTTGTATTTAAAATGGAAACTTTGTAGCTACAGCTGCTAAAAACAGCTATCATAGCTATTTTCTTTTACCAGAAACATATTAGCAACGTCTCATTTACGCTGAGCACTGAGCATTTTCAGACAAGCTGGGAATCCCGTCACTCACAAGTTGCTCTCTGGACCACACATAAACAACAACATTTTGAAGTGCTGGTTATTTTTACTTTAAAGGGGCATTGGGCAACTTATCTGGTGGTAGTAGGGGTTTGTCACCTGCTTGTCTTCATGGAGATGTTATTGCGTTGTCTAGAATGTTCTATGGTATCACATTAAACACATCTATCTAGCATTTAGTCATCATGGGTGCTTCTACTACACAAAAATACAACATTCTCTCTCTGAATAGGATTGACCTTCCATGGATCTGACCTGTATTGTAGCCTATGGTTGTCTCCCTTCAGTTAGATTGGTTTAATCTCTATTGTGGAACATTCTAGACACAGCAATAACATCTTTATGAAGACAAGCAGGTGATGGACCCTCCAGCAGAAAAGTTGCACAATACACCTTTCATATAGCAAACCAAAGCAATGAAATAACACCATCTACTTCACGATGGAGGGACCATAGTCTATAATCACTGCTGATCTAAAAGAAGACAATAAACAGCCAAAAATGTCCAATACTTTCCTGTTTCTTATCTCATGCAGTTGAACACCTCTCTCTAGACTTTTCCTAGCATGATTGTGACAGGATTGTTTACATACACAATCTACTCTACATGCCTGACAAAGAACTGGATAGGTGCAAACGTGGGGCTAAGAGAAGTTCAGGTAAATCTTTGTTCTCAAGATTTTATTGTGATCTTGAAGATTCAAACCACACATTTAGAAATTCGGTTTAATGTGGTTTAAGCCACTTATTTGTTATTCCTAGAGCGCACGTAAGCATAGTCACATTCTCTGGTTGCTTCTTCCACGCAGCTGCAGTCGGTATACATGGGACGGGGCTGTGTGTGCTCCCCAGGTGGGCTACAGAATCAGGACAGGAAGAGACCCCTGCTGATTTATGGCGCAGACAGGAAATCAGCCAGCTCTGTCAGCTCATTACATATTCCGCCACACACGCACTTCCATGTATAGTGCCCTCCGTATTTGCATCCAAGAATGTAGAGCAAAGGCTGTGTTTAATATTCACACACAAAACACATCAGCGTTTTATTTTTGCCATTTGCGTGTGCTACAGATAAAGGTTCTCGAATGTAACGTTTCTGGTGGCGCTCTGCTACCTGCTCGTCTCCTTGGAGATGTTATTGTTTTGTCGCGAATGTTCCACGATATGACATTAACCCTAGCTTTTAAGCATTTACTCAATTACAGGTGTTTTTATTGCTTAAGAACACCTTAAAAAACATGCTTATTATTAATGTGTGCAGGGTCGCCTCTCCACAGATCTTAACTGTGGCTTAGACTGTTGGTGTAACCTGCCTGTTTACTGCTATATCATGGAACATGAAATGCAAAGCAGAAACATCTCCATGGACAGAAGCAGGTGGCAAACCCTCCACCCAAAAGAAAAAAGTTATGGAATGTACTGACTAGAGCTGTGTATCATTAATAAGTTGCCGATACGATATATACCTCGATACATAGGCCACAATACGATACGTATCTCGATACAGTACATTTTTGGTTTGATACACTATATTTCAAATTGATTCCATATGATTCAAATAAAAAATAAAGGCTAAAATATGGCTGTGATACTAAAAGTCTTTGAAACACTTCTTGTTCAAAGTGAATTTGAATCCATTTTAATCATCAAAACAGTGAATATGTCAAATGTGTTGTATAAACGGGTTTCCTTCCACTAAACAAGCAACAAAACTGTGGCACTATAACAAAATAATTCTATAAAATATACCAAAAAATACTCTACGATATATCGATACAGCAGCCCACAATATCGATACTGTATCATCACATTAAACGATACGATATATATTGATTTTCTGATATTTTTGCACACCCCTAGTACTGACAAGTGATAGTAGTGTTTGTCCAAGGATCCAAAGGTTAGTGGTTCGAATCCCACTCTTGACGTAAAGGTCATTGGTTGATTGTTGTGTTTCCAACTCCCACAGATGAATATTGCTGTTTTGTCACTGGGCGAGACACACAACCCACCTTTCCTCCAGTGTCTGTGTACACTGGTGTATGAGTGCAAATGGGTGAGTGGTTCCTTGATGTAAAATGCTTGAAGTTGGAAAAGTGCTATATAAAATTGTGACCATTTACAGTTAAGTGTGCTACAGACTTTTACTCTTGTGGATTCAGCCGAAAAATACAATATAATAACCATAACATATACCATACCTTTTCAATATTCACACATTTTTTAAATACATGTGTACGTTTCTAGGAGCTCAAAATCCCAACAGGAGACTGCAGAAGTTAATCTTGGGCTCAGAAACTGTCCAAAACTACAATAAAATCAACCTTTATCACCATAGATGGGCGCCAGAGGGAGACCCTGCTGGCACATAATGCTGTGTACCAGACATGCTCAGTACTTAGTGAATCATGACTCATTCCTATTGGAGTCTATTTGTCACATTTGCCTCTTCACAATGGCTGCTCTTCTCTGCATGTTGTGCGGCGTTCTCTAATAGATTTGTTAAATGGATGGAAGTAGGCGCTGGCACCCATAATGAGTTTCCCTGTCTCTGTGCCATGTGCTATATGAATGTGTGGCTTTTAAAGAGCGAGTGGTTACACAGGGAAAGTACTGAAGACACCCAGCTCTGCTTTTGTACCAGAACTTCAATACAAGCTGAAAAGTGCAGGGCTTTAACAAAGTAATAGTAGTACTATACAGTATACATTTTAAGCCAATGATGTTCATTTTGTCTTCTTATATACTTTAACTTCTTAGGTTCTTTTTAAAGACAATGCAGTAAAGTGTATTTACCTTGTTGACATGTTTCGGCTGCTAGCTGCAAGCCATCATCAGAACTGTCACCGGTGTTGGTGGTGACGTGTCGTATATCAGCTGTTGTTACGTCCTGTAGGCGGAAGTAAAAAGAACCTAAGAAGTTAAAGTATACATTTTAGGTACTGTACTTTTACTTCACTACATTATGAACTTGTCTGAACAGTAAAAGTATTTATTATTGTTTGAGACCTGCAGAAAAAGGATTATTATTATTATTTTTTACATTTTCATAGTTTGAGTAAACAAAATATACAAATTGAAACAGCTACCAAAAAGCAACTGATTTAATAACAAAATTCAGCACAAATCTTTATAAAAAATCGGTACGTTTGAAGATCTCAAAATCTTCACAAAATAGTTTTTCTTTTCACTCTTTCAGTAATTTTTTTAAACTGGTACTTTAATACTTTAATACTTAAGTAGTTTTTTCCATGCGATAATTTTGCTTGATGTTTTTTTTTTTTCTCAAATACTGTTTTTATTTGCTCAAATACTCTGAAAAACCATGAATAATTATATGATATAATCCGATATTTATAATGCAAATATATGTGCATGCACTTGTACATGTTCAAAAATGCATGTCAAATGATAAGATTATGTTACATTTAATTGTCCTCAATTTGCATTTGACCCAGCTTGACCTTGTCAGCCGCAGTGGGGGACTGCAGTGCTTAGGGACCCTTCTCCAAATCTTATCAGGGTCAAGAGGAATGCCTAACTGCAAGAACTCAGGCTGCCCATCCAGACACAGGAAGAACCGGACCATTTGCTATGACATAAAACTCTAAATCTTAGTGCCAAATTTGGAATCTTCGTATTATCCAAAATTCAAAGTAGACCAGCTGTTTTTTCTTAGTTTTTGTGCATTTCTTTCATTTTATTTATTTATTTATTTCATTAATAGG